AAAAAAAAAAAAAAAAAAAAAGTGCTGTTGAAGTATTCAGACAATTTTTATGAGCCTTGGCCAAGCTTGGTTTTTCCTCTAGATATCTTATTTAGTACCCATATGAGGCACAAGCAAATGTGTTGGATACAAGACTGATACAAACTATTTGCCATTCCTCCCATTGGGGAGTGGAGTCTAAATTCCTTCCTCTTGAATCTGGGGCTAGCTTGGACTCAGCTGGCCAAGGGGGTGCAGCAGGAGCGATGATGCATGACACCCAAGGCTAGGTCAGAAGAAACCTGGAAGCTTTCATTTGGGTCCTTAGAACATTTGCTTTGGAGAGGCCACGTGGAGAGGCCAGTGTAGGCCACTGTTGACAGCCCAGGCGTGTGAGTGAGCCAATTTGTATGTCCAGCTTATCAGAGCCTCCAGACTACTGTAGCCCCAGAAACAGGGTTCACCAGAGAAGGTGGCATCAAGCTGGGAGGGAAGGCATTCTAAACAGAGGGAGTCCCGTAAACATAAAGCACCCAGGGAGTCTGCAGAACCTGAACAGTTTGGCGGCTGTGAAGGAGTAAGGGGAACTGTGGCTCAAAAGATAAAACAGGTTGGATATGGCTTTGGAGTGCGAACTGTGTTTGACGGGCAGTTATCTGTGAAAATCCATTTAGGAGCCCAGGTATGTGGAGCAGTGCTTTGCAAACACTATGGCACTAGGCATAGGCTGGCCTGGCTTCACATGTGAGCGCCAGCACTAACTAGAGGTATCAGGGCCTGTAACAGGAAGCGAAGGTGTGCTGCAGGGAAACACAGTATACCTACAATTCTCCACTGTTTTCTACCGTGAGTGGAATATATGGAAAGGCCTCTGTCTGTTGAGTTGTATTATGGGTATGAGCACAGATGATTAGAGAAGTGAAAGTAAGCTAAACTGCTCTGCATGGAAAAGGGAACCATGCAGACAAGAGGGAGTAGGAGCTGGCCGACGGGAAAACGGAGTCAGGGAGGCTGTGTGTGGGTGGGCTCAGAGGAAGACGTCGCTGGTGGCTGAGAGAAACTCTGGAGGTAAACAGAGGCACCACTGGGGGTGCCTGCTAAGTTTTGCTGTGTAATGAGTGATGCAGACCCTCTCCCCCCCCGTAAATCTTCAGGTGAATTAACATTGTTTGCCAAAGATCTGTGACACTGAATTTGCTTTCGGGAGGTACGGAATGAGGGCCAAAAATATCCTATTTACAAGACATCGGATGAAACTTAACTGTGACTATAAGATCTAGTAGGGAGACCATAAATAAAACAAAGTCTTACAGTGATATGGTGAAAGTGGGAGAGGAACAAAGGAAAGCTCCTCTAAATAAAACCCAGGGGAGGATAGCCAGTTGTATAAAAAGTTCTGGGGGGAAAAGTCACAGACCAATTAACTCGCTTAGGCATCGGCGCTGTCAGAAACTTGAGATATGACACGAAAAACTCTAACAGTGTTTCGAAAGGAAGCTGGATTACTGCGGAGAAAGTATAAAGAAATTGCATGGAGCTGGGGCTCTTAAAAGAGAAAAAAAAGAAAAAAGAAAAAAAAGAAAGGCCGGCAAGAAAGAAAACAAGCAAGCTAGTTAGTTGAGGAAACCGAGAGGAAAATCTTTCTCTTCTTCCCCCTGAGAGCGTTCTGAGCATACTGGGCACTCGAGTCTTCGGGGGACCGGGTAGGTGGGTGGAGCCGCTCTGGAACCAGAATGTGAACCAAAACTCCTGGAGGACTTTACCCAATAACTAAACTCATGATTGTCCAAGGCAAGAAGAAACTCAACAGGGTCTAAAGGAAAACCAAAGAGAGAGATTTCGCTAACAAAAATACCACCAAACTTACCTGTTTGAAATATTTTAATGAATACTGATACATAGGATCTATTTCTGAGAGGCTGGCAATCACGAAGTACATAACAGAGCCTTGAGTGGCTACTGGCCGATACTTCTCACGGGCAACGTTTATCATCACTTCCGTGGACTCTGCTTCCTTCAGCCTGCCTTTAATGGCACCAGAAGTGATCTGAATAAACATATGAAAACAAGTTCTTAATTTCTGTGTTTTTTGTTTGTTTTTTTAAAAGGTGGGATTTGGGGAATACATCCAGTTATGTGTAGGAAAGAAATAAGGGTGTGATGAATTAGTGATTATAACAACGGGGTCCCCAGATAGAATGACTGAGTCTGAGGACTCAGTGGCCTCCTAACTGAGCTGACCTTTCCTCCCAGAGCTCGGATGGGCAAACAGGAACAGGCAATGCAAACAGCCCTGAAAAAACTGGAGCAGTACCTCGCCGAGGCTCAAACCTGAATCACTTCTGAAGTAGGAACACTAGCACAGTACTCGCCATTGCTCCCCGATTTCCTCATGAGCAGGCCTAAAATGATCCAAGGTTCACATACGGAAAAGGAAAGGGACACCCGTATCTTCTGGGACACTGCCCAAAGGGGTGAGTCAGAGAGGCTGGGAGGAAGCAGTACCGCATCCCACTCTGGAACAAGGTAGGCGAGGCTAGTTTTTTCCCTCCTTTCGCTTGCGTTCCCAGGTACAGGCATAAGGAAACCTGGGGATAGAAGCTGTTGTCTCTGAAGGGGTATAAACCCAAATAAGTTGGGGCTGTTTTCAATGTCTTGGCTATTCTCTTGGTTTTCTGTATTTTGGTTCTGTGGCCCTGGGGAACCTTTCAGCATGTGGGCTTTCCACGATTCCCTTCTCTGTCTCCCTCAGTCTCTCTGTGTTGGTGGCCATCCCCCTTTCTCCACCCTGCCCCTCCACGTTTTTTCAGCTGTGGATATCCCTGGGTTGGGACATCCTTTGTCTCTAGAAAATCAAAGGGTCCGGAGCAGGGACCATGAAGAATCACTGTGGGGACCGCGGCTCAGTGTTCACTATTCTAAAGGGAGAGCTAAGGGGACTTCAGGTGTCTGTCTAGACCCTCACTGCCCACTAGAAATATAATGTGAGCCACGTGTATAATTCTAACTTTTCTAAGTTTATTACAAGTAAAATGAACTTTAACATTGTATTTTACTTAACCCTCTATAATCCAATATATGTTGGCTATAAAAACATGTAATTCATATAAAAATTATTAAGATATTTTTTACATTTTTAAATTAAGTCTTTGAAATCTGGTGTGTATTTACACTAACAACACACCTTAATGCAGACTAGCCATATTCAAGTGCTCAATGGCCGCATGTGGCTAGTGTCTAAGTCTAGACTCTCCACCCCAGTCCACCCAGAAAGGGAAGGGAAGGACTCAGGACAGAGCTGTGTTCAGGAGTCAAAGGCCCAAACTCTCCCACTACTGATCCCTTAGGAACCTGAGGCGACAAGAAAGGGAAGAGCTGAGTGGGAAACCTCAGTCTTAATACTGGACTCAACTAAAGCTTTTATAGATGATTTTTTTTTTTTTAAATATATCTTTATTGATTTCAGAGAGAGGAAAGGAGAGAGAGAGAGAGAGAGACAGAAACATCAATGATGAGAGAGTCATTGATCGGCTGCAGCCCGCAACCCGGGCATGTGCCCTGACCAGGAATCGAACCCTGATTGCCTGGATCTTAGGTCGACGCTTAACCGCTGAGCCACGCCCGGCTGGGCTAGATGATTTATTTTTTTTAAAAAGGAAGTTGATATGGGAGTAGTTGATTAATGAAGACCCATGGCAAACAATTCTTTATTCTTTAGGGAGCCTAAGGCCTAGATAACGCAGAACCCAGGGCTAAAGGGAAAGCAAAGTGGACCATTTCCTTCCTTTTGCCAGAGAATACTCGGAGATGCTATGCCTCCGTTGAGTTTAGTAACTACTTATAGATATTATGCCCTAGAGACCTGAGGCTTCAGTGACAGTTAGGAAATATGATATGTATTTTTACATGAGGGCTCTGGGAGTTTAGGGCAGTAAGTGGCGGGAAATACAGCCCAGGAGCTATGGGTCCTATCTCGCCCCTATAGAAAGGATCTGTCCACGGCAACCCCTTGGAAACATAAAGAAACTACCTTACAGATTAAGAGGGCAGTCAGAACGCATGCATCAACCTTCATTCCCGAGTGAAACCACGATGAAATTATAATAAAGGGGTTTTAAAACACAGTGCAAACCCACAAAGATGTGAGGAACTGACCAGGAAATAGCAATACAATTTTGTGGACTGGAAAGCAGACAGTGATGACTTAGCAGACCCAGGAAGAGGGATTCCACACTGGCAAAGGGGAGAGCCAAGAACCTGACCATTTATAAAACAGAATCCCCCTCAAAGGCTTAGCACCACTGGAGGTGGGAAGGGCCTAAATAAGAATTGGCTGATAGACACCCAGGTTATCTCCCCACACCACATAGCCAGGGGATTGTCCCTTTTCCACCCTACCTGAAAACAGAGGTTTCACCTCGAGGAAATGAAAAGACAGGATCTTTTTTTTTTTTTGATGGAAGGAAACCAGGCCAGGTTGAGGGACCATACTGAGAACAAAGAGGTCAGGTAAATGTATGCCTGCTGGGTGCTAAGACTGAGCTTTTCTCTTCTCAGCCTCCCCAAATATCTGCAGACGCATCTTCACACTTCCAGGCAATGTGAACACTGAGTGTTTAACTACCATCAGGATATAACTACAGTGGGAGGTGGGAGATGGGAGATGGGAAGGGCGCGTGTGTGTGTGTGTGTGTGTGTGTTTGTGTTAGAGATACAGGTAACAGTTAATGTTCAAAAGAACAAACTCAGGAAGTAGCAATATGAGTCTATTATTTAGAGAAAAGATATAAAAACACAGTAACCAAAACAAAAAAAAGAGATGAAAGTAGTTGTCTCTGTGAAAGGAGTCATGGGTGGGTGGTGGTGGTGGGTGCAGAGAAGGCAGGAAATGCTATTTTTTCATAACAAACCCTGTAGAAATAGTTTATTCTTTAAACAATCTGTGAGTAAAACTTTGATAAAAAATAAATGGGTTAGCAACAACTTGCAGAAATGAAAAACCTGTGGAAGAATGAATGAAAAGAGGAAAGAGATTGACGAACAAACAAGCAAAGAGAGGTAAGAAATGGAAGACCCAAAATGACTTGTTTATTACTGCTTCAGTCTGAGATAGATCCCAAGAGACTGTGGGATATAAAGCTTAAACCATTTCTGACATCAATAGAAGGCAAAGACTGTAACTGTACGTACTTCCTGTAAGGGGATTTTTCATTAGATTATTTTATGTTTCTCATGAATGGATAAAAATCATTTTATAGGCTGTATTCCCCCAGGATACTTTTAAAATTATGATTGGAATCTGAGAAATAGTTCAGTGCCATATACGTTTAATGTAAAACTTCATCTTACTATCAATACATTTTTACTGAGCACCATATATGTACAAAGCAGTATGCTTAGCTCTTGCAGATAGATCAGGATGAACTATTCACAGGTTCCTACTACACAGAAATGAACAACCTAACAGAAGAGATGAGACATGTACTTAGATACCTATGACATAAGGTAAAAGTGACAAGTGCTATAATAGAGGTTCAGATAAGGTGCTATCGGTGTTCCAGGGAGGAAGAGATTAGTTTCAGCTGGGAATACCGGGTGAGGGGACTTCCTGGAGGGGGTGACATTAATACGAATATATAATTGTGTTATTCCTTTCAACTTACATCTTGCTCCAGTTCTTTACATTTTATTTTAAATGTACATTTAAAACATTTCATGTTTTATTTTAAAAATGCAGAAAAGAGGAGCCATTGTCTACCATTTATCTACTCTTCCCCTGGCAGCCTCGGTGTGGCCGCCATTCTTGCTTTAAGATTTTGCAGGAACTCTCAAAGGCAGTAGCTGTAACTTCTGAAGTAACACACTTTTTATAAATACTAAAAATATTTTACTTGCCTTTGAATCCTGGAGTGTCTCAATAAGTTCTTCATTGTCCAGAATATTACCTTCAGATGTAAAGAGCATCTTCAGGATTTTATCTTCGATAGCTTTCAGCTGGTTTTTATCGGTGTTGATCCTCACTATGAGCTTGATTCTCTGTTCTTCCAGCTCGGGTTTCTCCAGTCTCACCACATCACTGAACCAATATTTGAATATGTATATTATGGCTTTGTCAGTGCCCTAAAGTTGTTTCTATATATATACATTTTTGGTTTGTTTTGCTACCTCGCTGAGAACTAATGTTACCAGCCAAGTCCTGATGCACAAGGCCCCTCTTTTGCTGGGTATACACAGTGGGTATTTGCTGAACTTTCGTATTAGTTCTGATTCTTTATATTATATTTCAAGACCTACATCCTACCACAGTTTCTGCTCATCTTCTCTTCAGAAAACCTGCTCAATGCTTGATCTCTCTAAGCATTCGATTTCTGTCTCTAATGCTTGCTTGTGCCAGGCTGAAAATGATGCCAGGAACATTCTTTTACGTGGGAGGTTCTGAAATCCCATCACCTCCCTGAAAGGATTCTTGATTGCATCGAATACAGTTGCCTTACCTCTAGCTGCCCTACCCCCCAAACATGTGAACTTTTCTCTCCCTTTAATTGTACTCTCATGATCTGCCCCCGCTCTGTCTGCAGGAGCTAATCGAGGCCCCCTGCTGAGAGTCTTATGTGCACTCTCTCTTTTAAATCCTTTGAATGGTCCTGTGAGGTGGGCACAGTGGTTATCGCCCTGGCTTGCACAGGAGCATGCAGACCCTGCAGGGTCATTTTCCTGAGGCCATGTGGCTTTGAGAGGCGGAGCTGGGCTTGTACCTGGGTCACCGGCCTCTCATGAACTGTCTCCCATAATAACCCCTTGTTTATTTGTTATGTACATGCTGAATTCAGAAATTTGACAGATTATTACATGAAGATGAGGAGAAATCGTCACTGCAAATTCATTTGTTTATACAATCTTTCAGAAGAGAGGGGTGTGAAATATGGCCTGGGGACTCCCCCCGGGACTGAGCCTCGACATTTGCCCTGCTCTTGTCAGGGCACTTTGGCCGCTCAGCCTGGGCAGTGTCACAGGCGACCGTGTAGCCACACAGCTACGCTCAGCTGTCCGTGGGAGTAAGCCGATAGGCAGAAGGTTCAGCCACATCCGTGGAACATGGCCACATGCGTGGTGAGACTCCCTCTCTGGAAAAAAGCTAGCCTAGCAGAAGTCAAGCAAGTTAGTAGCTGGCACAGTAGGTTTGTAAAATCAACATGGAAAAAGAAACTTAAGCTCGTAGTGATAACGGGAGAAAATCAGAATAATCCTAACTTGAACATAAAGGATTATGCTGATTTTGAATATGGGTCTTAAATGATACTTTCCTTTAAAATTAATCAATACACACACATGCAAAATTAGTTTTTAACCAATATCAATGTTATTGCAATAAATATTTAAAACATTTTGCCTCCTAAACCTCTTGGCTAGTTCTGATGATTACTATAAATAATTCATAATCTCATTTTTGGGAAATGGAGATTTAATCACATACAACGTATACCGAGAGAGGGTATTTTTTGTTGTTGTTGAGGTAGACAAATGTAGGTAAAAATAACTGCACTAAGAAAACACCTAGACAAGTGAAACAAGAGAAATATATTTGGGGGCAGAAGTGTTTCTCACAGTGTGGGGCAATGAGTCTCTAGAACCCATAGGACTACCTTCATTTACTTGCCCAAGATCGGAAACCCCGGGGAAGGGGAAGAGGCCAGGCTGGGCTGCAGGCCTGTCCCAAGCCATGGTCAAGAATGAAGAGAGTATCCCTGGTCTCCTTGAGGAGACCGGACAAGGCCAGCAGCTGCGAAAAGTGATGAAAGGGGAAAAGAACTTGGCCGTTTACTGTAGTCTTTGTGACTGAGGGGGTTCACGAGTGATGCTTTCTTTTAATACATTAAAAATTTCTTTGCCAAAATTTCTAAACAAAATATTAGGAAAACTTTCCTTCTCCCTGCCCCCTCCCTTTTTTTTTTACCTTAACAACTGATCCTCCAGACCTGACTTGGTTACAGTGAAATTGATGATGGTAACTTTAATGCACACCTAGAAAAGGAGCAGGGTCCATTAAAATGCTTATTCAGACTACGCAAATAAGAAGTGCATCTTTATTAGAACACAGCTCATTATTACCAGCTGGATGTCTCTCAGGTTTAACTGTGAACATACCCACCCACCCGCCACACACCATGCATACCGTCTTACAAAATCTCAGTATGACCCTCCCTGCCAGTATGAGTGACGGTCTTGTTCTTCAAATGCCACAGTTGGGTGAGCCAGTGAAGGGTTAGAAAAAAGCGGGGCTGCAGAATGGATTGCTTGGGTTCAAATTCCAGGTGCGCTCTTTAGTGTATGAATGACGCTGGACAAGCCATTCACTCAGGCTGAGCTTTAGTTTAGTTCCTGATATTTGAAAATTGGGACGATAAATAACAACTCACGAGGTATTTGTGAGGGCCAACGGAGGTAATAAAATCACTTAGTTACAGTAACTTGCACAGACCTTGTCCTACTTAAAAAGAAGATACTGGCCCGGCCTATGTGGCTCAGTGGTTGAGGGTCGCCCTATGAACCAGAACTGTTGGATTCCCGGTCGGGGGGGTGCAGGAGGCAGCCAATCAATGACTCTCTCTCATCACTCATGTTTCTATTTCTCTCTCTCCCTCCCTTCCTCTCTCTGAAACCAATAAATACATATTTTAAAAAGACACTGATGATAGAGCTTAACATATACTATATCATATTTTTATGAAAAATTATTGCTATAATATTCTGATATTATTTAAATAATAGCAAAAAGAATATAGTAAGAGTAGGTGTTTGAATGTCATATATTTTACATGTTCTTCTTATTTAATGTGCACAACAAACCCTTGAGGAAGGCTTTGTCTCCACCTTATAGCTGACTGACTTGAACATCCAGGAAATAGAGGGATTTACCCGCAGTCACAGCGCTGGGGTTGGGTAAGGTGTGCGAGGCTCCCTCGCAAAAGTTAGGAAGTGAGAGGCTGAGGCTTGTAAGTCGGCACATTGGTCTTTTCTAAACTCTAAATTGGAACTGTGGACATGCTCTCTGGCAGGGACTGACAAGGAAAACCCTGACCTAGGCTTCAAATGGCATTTTCCTCATCTTATCCAAGAAGTGGGTCAATTTCAACCTGAATACATCTATGAAGACAGCCTACGAGAAAGTCAGTAACTAAAGCGATGCTATTGAAAGGGTATATTTAAAGATATTTTTAAAAGTGTGTGTGTATGTGTGTGTGTGTGTGTGTGGAGGGGGCGAAGAATAAAGTTCTGATTTGGGAAGTCCCTTCCCTAACTGCCTGGGCCCCATTGGAGAAGGGGAGACCTGCTGGGTTGGAAAGACCCTGCTGAGTGTGAAGCCAGTACCTGGAGCTGTGGCAGCAGAGAGAGTTGTGCTGGGGGTGGTGGGGGTACTGGGAAGGTGGGGAGCCCCTCAGAGCCCCGTTTGGGAAGGGAGAAAGGAGTCCCAGCTGTCTTCATTGTTGCTGCAACTGCCTTGGGCTCTGCAGCACAGGAGTAGAGGTTCTCCCGGATCCTGTCGTGGCTCAGGGACGTGTATGGAAGTGGGGTCCACACAGCTCCCTCATACAGTCTGAGAGCACGAGGGAGTGGAAGGGCCACTCCTCCCCAGGACTCCACGCGCAGGCACACTGGGCATTTGAATCACGATTCTTGGATAAGTTTTCTCTGCTTGTGGCCGTGTGCGGTGCGTATCTGCACACTTAAAGACGGACAGCCCCCCACGCACAGACTCTCAGGCTCGGATTCACATATCGGCCATGCTAAGAGGGCACAAATGCCCTTGTGCTGAAGGAGCGAGGGGGATGATTGGAGGGGAGGGGCCCTGTGACGTGAGCAGCAGCTGCCGACCAGGAGGGGCTGGTGCCAGGGCTGAAGAGGCAGGTGCGCAGGGGAGGGAGGCAGGTGCGCAGAGGAGGGAGGCAGGTGCGCAGGGGAGGGAGGCAGGTGCGCAGGGGAGGGAGGCAGGTGCGCAGGGGAGGGAGGCAGGTGCGCAGGGGAGGGAGACAGATGCGCAGGGGAGGGAGGCAGGTGCACAGGGGAAGGAGGCAGGTGCGCAGGGGAGGGAGGCAGGTGCGCAGGGGAGGGAGGCAGATGCGCAGGGGAGGGAGGCAGGTGCACAGGGGAAGGAGGCAGGTGCGCAGGGGAGGGAGGCAGGTGCGCAGGGGAGGGAGACAGATGCGCAGGGGAGGGAGGCAGGGCAGTGGCCTGGGGACCGAGTAGGGAGGACTACAGGCGGCCAGCAGAACGCTGACTGGAATCAGAACCAGGACTCAGAAGAGAAGCAAGAGTGGAGGGTGACAGGAGGAAAGGGGGGCTTGGAGGGGGCAGAGGGAGCTGGAGGAGGGCTGTTCCCTTCAGGTGGGAACCCTCTACACTTCAGAGAGCCCTCACACCGTAACAATCCGTTCAGGTTGGCAATTCCAGGCCCACAGCTCTTACCTCAGGCAGGTAGTGGGGATTTGGCAACTTGGTTGTCATATAGAACCTAAAATTCTTATCATAATCGATGTCCGAGTCCCCAAGGTGAATGAGCAGTCGTCCACCACTTATGAAGGTCTGTTTCAAAAGAATGGGTTCTAGAGCTGGATCCAAGGTTTCTTTAAGCTTAAAAATGAAAACAGAAGTACAAAAAACGAGGCATTAAAATGGATGACATCACAGCCTTCACCAAGAGTCCTCGCAGTTTCTGCTTCAGTGGTGCTTGGACGGGACCTGGCACTCGTCCCTCATCCCACCCAGCTGCTCAGGTCCAGCCCTCTGCCCCCTCCTCACAGCACCCTCAGACACCCCGAGGCCCGCCGAGCCTAAGTGCCTCGCAGCCAGAGCTACCACCAGGACTCCCAGGCTGCCACCAACTGCCACATCGACCTGGAGCTCCACGCTTCCTGTCTTGCTCCTTTCACCGCCGTGATGTGGCTTTGAAGAACTTTGCCAAATATTTTCTTTACTAATCTCATGAAGAGAGGGAACATGCTGAGAAACTGATGAAGCTGCAGAACCAATGCGGTGGCCGAACCTTCCTTCAGGAGAGCAAGGAGTCAGGCCTGACGACTGGGAGGAGGGGCTGAATGCAGCGGAGGGTGCGTCACACTCGGAGAAAAGTGTGGATCAGTCACTAATGGACTTGCACAAACTGGCCACTGACAGATTGACCCCCATTTGTGTGACTTCCCTGAGACTCATGGCCTGAATGAGCACGTGAAATCCATCAAAGAACCTCTTTGAAAAGCAGCCCCTGGGAGACAGTGATGAGAGCTGAGCCTTAGGCTGGCTCCCCATAGCCGTGGGGTGACTTCCCCGGTCACCAACGCAGTATGTGCATGTCGGAGCACCTCTACCTTTTCTCTAAGTCGTACCAATCGTCCACTTATGTTCTTTCATTTGTACCATCCCTTCAAATAAAATAATTTGGGGTCTCGCCCCCCAAAATTGGATGACATCAACTTCTCCAAATTCCTTAGGCCTCAAAATTTACTTTGAACAAGCAGTTTTTTAGGGATCATATGGATATGCAGTAATGCCCTCTCACTACCTCGCACAGTGTCCATTTCCCAGTGAGTGCTTTTTCAATAGTCCAAGGAAGAGAAAGAATCTAAGGAAGGAGAGTCACTGCAGCATGGTCCTCCAACAGGCCCCAGGCAGAGAGACCTGTCCACTTTGACGGTTGTTCTCAGCCATGAGTGGGCAGTCTGCAGCTGCTGTCTAAACCTGACCTCTGCAGCCTGTTTTTGTATTGCTCTTGCGCTAATAATGGCTTTTACATTTTTAAAAGGTGGTGAAAAGGAACAAATAAAACCTCCAAACAAACCAAAACAAAGAAGAAAATTTGTTCAGAGAATGTTTGTATAGGGATTGTATGTGGCCTGAAAAAACAAATATATCTGGCTCTTTACAGGAAAAATGTGTGGACCTCTATTCTAGAAGACAGGTATTTTCCCCTTTCAAAGCAAAGCTGATTATTGGTAAGAGCTTGAACACGCAGACATTGCCAGCAGACCCCGCGACAAACATCTTTATGTCAGTGTGCACCTGAGCTGTGAAAATGTGACTGTAATCTCGTTAACAAATTTATTTCACACTGTGACATGGTACCCCAGCACGTAAACCCTTAAAACTTTATGAGATAAAATTTTCCTTACTACTTGTGATACGGTTTTATACTTTTTAAAATTCTGTTCTATTTCATTAAAAAATGCTGACTGAGGTGGCCTAACTCAATTTCACATCCATGAATGGGCGGAGACAAAGTTTAAAAATACCACCCTACAAATGTAGAAACCAGCTGGGTGTATAGTGCTAATGACTCCAAGTCTCCGAAAGCAGGAGCAGCTGGTCAGAGTCCCCCGTTCCTGGTGGGGCCCTGAGCACTTAGCTACAGTCAAACCCCTCAGCTGTCCAGGGCAGAACATCACGGAAAGTCCGTCCACTGTCGGGAGAGAAGGAATTCCCTCAGGACCTCCTGTGTTATGAAGTAGCCTGGGGCTTAACAATCCAGGATGGGGCTAACATAACTGTGTCAGAGATTTTGAGAGACCTCACCCACTCCTGTAACCTCAGGGTCTGAATGAGGACCTGGGACCCATGGTAGAACCTTCCCTGTGCTGGTCAAGGGCAGATGCCACACATGGAAGCTTCTTGTGCTCTTCGTAGCTGAAGCTGGGAGCATGGTGATTTATTTGCTGTGGATTTTGTAGAACAGCCAAGGCTGCTCAGACAGTTTACTGAACCTCTGTGCCTCAGTTTCCTCACAGGTAAAACAGGATAATAGTGGTAACTACCTTGTAAGGTGGCAAGTGGCAGTGAGGGATTAAAGAATTAATGTACGTAAAATACCGAGAACAGAGTCTGGCATGTGGTGGGCACTCAGTAAGTGGCAGCTGATGCTAACAGTCGTCATTATTCGAGTGGGCATGCGGTGCCCCGGCTCAGCTGCCCCAGCCGGTGGTCTTCTCTGAGCTCTCACCATCCTGCCGCAGCAGAGACACGCCTGGGCACGGTTACCCAGCTCACAGCCCATGCTCTCGCTCGCTCATTTTCTTCTCATACAAACAGAAGAGTAAATCAGCTAAGTGAACCACTGCCGCTGATCAGCCTCTCTGGTGGCCGAGGCCTCTGCACATGCTGCCCCTTTGCCTGGGAAGCCCTTCTCTCTCAGCTCTTCACATGGCTGAGCTCACCCTGGGGGTCACAGTTCATGTTACCACCCACACCCCTGCATCTAAGTTCATTTCCTCTTTACCCCCCAACCCCCTTAACGGCTGTGGTAGCACCGGGCTTGACCCTCCAAAGCCCTTATCGCAAGTTCTCTCCCTCCCCTTCTCTCATTTCCTCTCTCTTTTCTCTGTTTACTGTCTCTTTTCCCAACTAGATTGTAAGCTGTTGAGGCAAGAACCACGTATGTGCCGTTTGCCACTGATTCTCAAATAACGTGTGTTGAACGAGTGGGCAACTTTGAAAACATCCATTCTTGGAGTGATTCCGAAGAAAAGGAGCACTGAGGCTCAACAAACATCCTTTTTAAGAAAGAAAAAATAATAATAACCAAAGTTCATTCTTATCACATCACTTAATCTAATTCCGACCTTATATCTCAGTGGAAAATAACGTTTCTACCCCCTCCCGGGACGGTTTCCCTGGCTTCACATCGCTGGCGTGCGTGGACAGTCCCTGATGGAGCTGCCGCCTTCAGTTTCTGGGGCAGCCATCAGGAGCCACAACGAGGCCTGAGAATCGGCAGTGACAGAAAACAGGGCCCATCACCCCATTTAGCCCCAGAACGGTGTCTGGTCAAGAAGCAAAGCGATTGGTTTGACTAGTTTGACCAGTTTGACTAGTGTGAACGTGGACCTGACTGGCGCCTCTGATGCAGTGCAGCTGTGGCGTGCAGGGGATTCTGAAAGCTGGGGACTAGCACGAGCAGAGAAGAGTGAAAAAAGCCAACCTCCTCCAGGAGGACCGGCAAGCCGAGGCGGATGGAGTTCTCCAGCGTGCGTAAGAAGTTGCTATCCGTGAGCTTAATGACCCTTAAGCCACTTCTGACCTCTTTGTTTCTTATCCAGCGGTTGGCCTGTGGGAGAAAGCGCAGAGCGGGACGCCTGTTTTAGTGTTTAGGAGGTGAGAGCGTTTAAAGCTTAGAAATTCTGTTCAATCTAGAAATAGGTTTGTAAGGTTAGGAAAAAAAGAAAAAGATAAAATGAGAACAGTCTGTCCTATGCTTCTATGTTTCTGGATCTGTTTTGTTCATCGGTTTATTTCATTCATCAGACTCCACGTATGAGTGAGATCCCTTGACACTTGTCTTTCTCCGCCCGGCTTATTTCACTTAGCGTAATACTCTCTTGGTCCCGCCATGCTGTCGCCTAGGGTAAGGGATGGGCAGGAGGGTGGGGGGAGATTAACCTAAGAACTTATATGCACATATGTACAACCCTTGGACACAGACAGTAGTGGGGTGAAGGCCTGGGGGGAGGCATGCATGGGGGAGGGGATCAATGGGGGGGAGGGAGCATTTGTAATACTTTCAACAATAAAGATAAATTTTAAAAATTCAGAGAAGGAGGAAAATGTAATAAAGGGATGAGCCCCACCTACTTCTTCCTTTGAAAAATATGAAATAAGAATACCACTCCCTCACAAATAAAAACACATTTTAAGCCCAACCTTTCGGATTCTCCCTTTTTATTCGAATTTGCAATAAGTGAAGAAAAGATTCCGCCTAGAAAACAATCCCAGCCCAGCCAGGTGTGGCTTAGCTGTTGAGCATCGAGCTAGGATCCAGGAGTTCTCGGTTCGATTCCCGGTCAGGGCACATGCCGGGGTTGTGGGCTGGATCCCCAGCAGGGGGCGTGCAGGAGTCAGCCGATCAATGACTCTCTCATCACTGATGTTTCTATGTCTCTCTCTCTCTCCCTCTCCCTTCCTCTCTCTGAAGTCAATAAAGATATATTTAATAATAACAAAAAAAGGAAAACAATCCCATACCTGTGCTACTCCAGCCTGCCTGTCTCTCTGCTTTCATCATGGCTCCTTTCCAAACCTCACGTGGTATAATCTGAACCATGGGTTTAGGAGTCAGGATTTCGTAAATGCTAGGCAGGCTGGCCCTAATATTCATCAGATCCCTACTTCACGTAGACTCCTCAGACCTTTTAGGAACAAGGACTACACAGGAATGAATTTCTGCTCCCATAGAAAACAGAAAAGTAATGAAGTCTGCAGAGCCCGTGGGCACGTCCCTTGCCTACATCCACAGAATGAGGGACTTGGGCTAGAAGACTCTAAACTCCCTCTAGCTCTCCATTCCCAGGATCTCACAAGTCTGTCCAAGTCCTCTTGAGCATCTGCAACGGCCAGCACAATGTTAAGCCGAGTCAACAGGCTGCTCTTTACCTGAAGAAGCATTTGTTACACACCTGATCTTGGGGATCAATCATCAAAGGCCACCGTCTCCCTTGAGTAACCAGAATGCCATTTTCCGTTGATATCAAGTCGCGGGGCAGCCCGTCCGTGTTCCACTGCCGTATTTCGTAGGGATCACCAAGAATGTTGATGAGACTGAAGGAAGGATCGATGGGGATCTCCAGAGACTGACAGTCCTGGATCCAACACTCTATCAGCTGCAAAGGAAAGTTTACTTGTATGGAACAGAGACCCTCAGTAAGTTAGCGCATGCGCGCGCGCACACACACACACACACACACA